CCCCCACATCCGTCCGCTCCGAATTTCGCCAAATGGGGGACCGCCGCCGAAACTGTCGATGCTTGCCGATCCGAAGTCAGTCGGCCGACAGCTGGGTATAAAAGAGGCCCGGCTGTACGTCTATTCCATCAGATCCTGTTTGCTGCTAGACAGCGAACATCCTCTACGAGCGTTCTCGTAGTCCGCCGAGAGTACTCGGATTTTATGCTTTTGCTTCCAAGTAACGCGAGCGTTCTCGTGTACCGCCGAGCGTTCTCGGCACTCTATCCTCTGACGCACGAGCATTCTCGTGCACCCGCCGAGCATACTCGGCTCCCGGTACCGGTCTTCGTATATGGGCCCGTGTACCCAGCGAAACCTCCGTTTCGAATCCCCCTTATACAAGCGTTCTCGTAAACCCGCCAAACGTACTCGGCTCCGAGCCTCTTATACAAGCGTTCTCGTATACCCGCCGAGCGTACTCGACCCCCAAATACCAAATCTCCGTGCACGGGCATTCCCGTGCACCCGCCGAACACACTCGCCAATACGAGCGTTCTTGTATTCCCGCCGAACGTCCTCGGCTCCAGATCTTTCTAACACGAGCGTCCTCGTGTACCCACCGAACGTACTCGGTTATCATCCAACTGTCATATCTCCGCACACCGGCATTTAAAACCAAACACCATCCGGCAGGCAAAACCGCATCGACCAATCCGCGCCACCGAGCGTGACCCGTATCGATCGACTATCGAACGGACTCGCGACGCATCTACGAACGCGCCCGCCGACAGGCACTCCGTCGTACCAACCGCTACGACTCAATCTTACGCGCTTGCGCCAACATCTCGTCGCTCGTACCAAGACGCTTCACGTCATCTATACACTCGTCACGTTTGGACGAATCACACGTCGCCTTTATACACCACCACATTTATACAAATAATATCATCGCTATACGAATTACCGATCATATTTATACGAAATCGCACACAGGGCCGGCAACTTAGCAGAATTTCGAGTGTGGAGTTTTATTCATTTAAGGGGGGGGGGGGGGAGCCAGAAAAACTGTAACAAATTTTTACAAAATGAGATATTTTATTTATTGCTGTTTACAACTGCAAACGTTGATCGTCGAATTTTATTTGCACATATAAATCTATTTGCAATTTCGTTCAAATCTAAGCCTTCAGTTATATCACGATGAACGTGGAGAATTGCGATGTTATTTAATCGGCTTTGCCACATCGTTGATCTTAAATATGTTTTCAATCTTCGCAAAGTTGAAAACGACCGCTCAGCAGTGCATGACGATGTCGGGACTGTGAGTAAAATCCTAATTAATTTGGAAAACTCACTAATCAATTCACTTACTGGCAAATTTTCTTTTAAAAATTTTACAACATCTTTCAGAGTCGATATTGTGATTTTTCTTTGTTTGATATCAAGAAACATGTCACGATGAAGCTTTAGTTTTTCTTCCTCAAAGTCATTTTTATAAAACTCTACAATGTGAATCGGATCATTGATTTTACCTGTAATGAAATTTTCGCACATATTTAAAAATTCCATTGTTTCGGAGTTAAATCTTTCTTTTAATGAAAAAATCACTTGATCGTATATTTCATTAAAATTCTTTTGGTAATATTCTTCAACAGATTTAAATATATGGACATCTGCTGTCTCGAAACGTTTCGGAGCTCTACGAGTGCGAGGCAATTTAGGTTCTTCTAAATTTAATTTATTTGCGCCATTTGTCGCTTCTTTCCACAAAGAATCAAAACCAGATTGTCTCATTTCCGCAAAACATAATAGTATGGCTTTCATTTTTTCATGTGACTCGTACAAATTTAAATCACTTTTTTGTAATTGCGTATTTAAAATTTCAATTTTCTCTAATGCTTAGATAGAATTTAATAGGCAAAAATAAAACTCAAAACTTTCCAAATATATTAAAAATCCATTGGCTTTACTGCTAACTTCTGATTTGTTTGTAGATATTTCATTAAAAAATAACAAAATTTACTCATAGTTAGCAGCTATTGTTTTTAAAGATTTGACTCTCATGCACCATCTATAAAATATAATAATAATATTATTTTTATTGTTAAAAAGTAATAATTATTTATTAAGCATTAAATTTGGAAATTATGTTATTTATATAATTTATAATAAGATGCAAAAATTCTTAAATCAACAACCATAACTTTAGATTTTAGATTATTATTTTGTACGTAATTTAATTTTTTTATCCACTTTATTAAATATTATAAATATAATTAATTGACCTATATATTTTACCTTGTTGGACAAAACGGTGATAGAATCGGTAGCGTTTCTTCGGATGTCGCCTGCAAATCTTTAAATATTGCGATTCGTTTTGGAGAATCGCGAATAAAGGTTATCATATCTTTGGCTACTCCAAGAAAGTTATTAATCATTTCTATGTTCTTCATAGCATCTTGAGCGACCAGATTTAACGTATGCGCTGTGCAATGAACAAAAAGGGCTCTTGATTCCAACTTCCGAAGTAGCGTACACCAGAATATTTTCCACTCATATTTGCGGCGCCGTCAAAACATTGCCCTCTTAATTTTGTAATATTTAATCCATATCGTAATAAGACATCTCTTATGATATTCAGAAGCGTTTCCGATTTTGTATTACTGGTTTCATAAAAACCTAAGAATATTTCTTTTATAGTAAAATCCGGCAAGGTAATTCGAAAGTTAATGGAACTTGTTCCAATCTGGATATATCCGATGTTTCATCTACGATGATAGCATAATATTGCGCGGATTTTATTTCTGTTATATATGTGTTTATGACTGTATGTGCCATCATTTCCAATATTTCATTCACGTAATTATGATGCAGCCACTTATAACCTGCTGACTTATTTAGCCACCACCTCAATTCTGGAACATCCTCAGCTCTCATTTTTTAAAATTTTATGAGATTAGAATATTCGTCATTATTTCTTCCACGGAGGGCTATACCTTGTTGTGCTAAAACACTAATAGTGCTAAATATCTTTAGCAATGCGACTCGAGAATCAGCCATTTCTTTAGTTTTTGCATGAGAAATATGCTCAATAATAGACTTATCTCGTAAATTTTGTAATCCTAAGAATGCTTTTCTGTGAAAACTGCTTGCTTCGTGTTTATTAAAACGATCTACCGCATTTTTCCAACAACTAAAGCCATTCGTTACAAATGATTCAATTGAGCGTATAGCATGGCTATCTAGACTTGATATATTTTTGCTTACTGCTTCTGAGCATATTTTACAGATGGCCTTACCCGTTGAATTAAATTCTAGCCATTTGTATATCTCTTGCCATCTTGCAAAAGATAATGGTTTTTTTTACCTAAAAAAACAATATAAGTACTGTTTACGTTTTGTCTGAATACTTTTGTACACTTTATTATGAAGAATCTTACTGACAGACTTATGAAATTTATAACAAACTTTGGATATTTTATTTTTAATTAATATTCAATTTATTAATTATTAAAATAATATTAAAATTTTAAAACAATTTTTAATGTTTTTAAATAAGACTTGAGAATTATTTTTTGTAATATTTTTATACTATATGTAAAATTATATTTTAAACTATCAAACTTATTAACTATTTAAATATATTTATATAAAAAATTGCATTTTACTCAAAATAAACATACTTTTGTTTAATACTGCTTTAGGCGCCAAATTTTCTTTATTTGGTTTTTCTTGAGTGTTGTTACTTGTTGCTTCTGTGATTTGCAGCCCCGACTTCGAACTACCGACTATTTCACTGCTTGAACAGCTAGGCTTCGAAGCTGCTATAGAAACAGCTGGTTTTTGCTTTCCTTTTCTTACGACAAACTTGTCCATGACTGACAAAGAGAGATAATATGTTGGGGGGCTTGAAAGAACCACGATCTCAGGTCAATAACAGCAACGTAAAAGAAGTTTGGTTATATGGTCACAGTTTGATCACGAACTATACGGACGTAGAAAGAGAGAGCACCAATTTGGGCATGAACTATGAGACGCTGACGGAGACGTTTCGCTTTATGCATATCTGTGTAATGCCCTCTAGCATATAATGTTACAATTGGTAGTATATCGGTAGCTCTCGTTGCAACTCATAAATAATTTTGGAACAAATTGGGCAAATTCCGAGTATGGAAATTCCACACTCGGATTAATCGGAGTGTGGAATTCTCCACATATTCCATATATAAGTTGCCGGCGCTGATCGCACATCATACGCAACATACGCAAACATCCATACGGATCATTTATACCAGAAATTGTCTCTGAAAAACTTTCTTTGCTCTTGTAGTGCCTATGTAGCGGTAGGCGCTGAGGAATAGATTCGGGATTCGCCGTGCTGGCCAAGGGGGTTTACTCGGAGAGTTGAATTAATTAACTAGTTTTTCCTTTTGAAAAAGGTATAACTTTTATTTGATACTCTTGTTGATACACTTTACACTTCACTCACTCGGCGACCGTATTACTGCGGTTACACGTGTACGCGGCGTGTCGTGCTTCGTACGGAACTTTACTGATAAAAAACCCGCGGTGC